GGCCTGAAAAGCAAAAGTGTATACAAATAATAAGCGACGTTTCGGGCAGTGGCCCTTCACAGCGCATAGAGGCCATAGTGATCGTGAATGGTTGTTAGATTGCAAGACCGTGAGAGATGGTGACAGCTTGACGATGATATTCATCAGGCAGTAGACTGATAACTTTTTTTATGATTGTAAGTATTACGATATTTTATACGATAGCCTAGGTTCATTCTCTGACACAAGACGGTGCACTGCTCATTCAAGTGTAAGATTCCTGACTTGAAATGTCTTCATTTCATTACATGCCTTGACCAATCCGCTGCAGTATGTAGGCCTGTCCAAGCTATCACCAGCTTTAGGGTTCACCCTATGTAACAATCCGTCCAGGGCCTGCACACAATCTCTTGTAAGTGCTCCATCTCCACAATTGAAGTTCTCTTGGGCACGTTCCCTCCTTTAGTTGCCACTTCATCATTAGTCTCAAACATCGGTCATCTTCCCCTCTAGCGGCATCTCGCGTATGTTCTCGAATGCATGTGATCGCACCAACGGAATACAATTTTCGGAAAACGGAAAATAAAACACAAGTGGGAGTAACGTTGCACAAATCGGAATGTTCTTGGCAGTGGTGTACGTTTGTAGTGTAGCGGTTAGCGCACTGCCCGAGGAACCCTGGCGACCCGAGTCCGATTCGCACTCACGGCCAACACCAGTGACAAATATCTGAACCGGTCCTGGGTCTCCCCGAGGTGAACTCTGCTTCAAATGAGTACCTGGTGCAGTGTGGTAAACATTGCCACCAGGTAAACAAAGGCGGTCGGGGCGTGGTGCTGGCCACCCCCCCCCCCCACCTCCTGTTGTGCCAAGCGGGGGCTTTCATAGGTGCTCGCCAACAGCACTTGCCCCATACAGTCTGTTAAGGCTATACCGGGGGGACATTTGTCTTTGTACCAAGTCATGCGGCTTGCTGGGAATGTGAGGTATGACGTCAAGTTGGTTCACCCAGCCCTTCTCTGTTTCACTATCACACACAGTCACACAGACAAAGGTCCCCCAATATAGCATTAACAGACTGCTTTGGGAAATGTTTGTTAGCTAGCACCTGTGAAGGCCGTCTTTTTGTCTCCCCAATGGCGATGTTTTTCACACCACGCCTAGGGAATGCCCAGGAGAGATGCAGATACTCATCACTGGTGTTGGCCGTGAGCGGGAATCGAACTCGTACACACAAGCAGTCACACACACACTAGTGTGTGAGATACCAATTTAGCCTTAACAGACCGGTGGATCTTGTGCGGTGAGTGAGCAGCGGTGTCGCTGCCCACAATGGCATGATGTTGGCAGAACCACCCCCGCCCGCGTTTGTCTTGCCCTTGTGCTGATGTTTTTACACACTGCTGCCCCATGGTCTTATTTCAGCCGGAGTTGACCTAGGCGAGGCCCCGGACAGACCCGTTCAGACATCACTTTACACTGATACGATGTTGGCCATGTCTGCCAATCGAACTCCGCTGCCTTGGTTTTGTTTTATTACGGTGCGTGAACCACTGTTACCACGCACTGAGGTTAGCTGCCAATACCCCAGAGAATTCCTACTAGGAGTAGGGGGGGTCAGACCCTAATTTTAGGGGGCATGTGAACTGCCTTGCTAAAAGTGTAAACACACTACAGCGTAATTCTTTGTGCCGGGTTGGGCAAGACTTTTTTTCTCTCGCTACTTATTTGACCAGCAGTCTATGAATTCCATCGCACACGAAAACATTCACGCACACACACGCACCCATTCCTACACACACACATTCTGTACACATGTGTGCACATACAAAAACATGCAGGCCTCAACTTTAACGCAAGACAGAACACCCCCTTGTTGTACCCGGGATAATTTTTGGGGCAAGGTGTGTTTGCGAGCGTCTATTAAGGTTGGCGTGGCGCAAGAGAGAGGGGAGGCGTTGTCAGAACCATGCCGGTTTAGCTGACAGTCTTCTTCCATTGCTGGTGATTTAAGGCCGAGTTGACCAAATGGAGGCCCAGAATTGATCTTCGTTGTTGTGTAACCGCACACTTTCTACAACTGATTTGATTTTATTTGGCGCCCTGATACACGCATCTCATCTCAAACATTTAAAGGCGTACCCCTAGTGGCAGCTGTGTGTGTCGGCACAGGGTGACTTGGTACCTGGCGTGCAAATCGGCATTAGGCTGCCAGGAAGCGGGGCGAGGGTGATGATTGGTTTCTACGGAAAATATTATCCCAGATGAATAATTTTCAGGTACATTTTTTTCGCGTTCATGTGGGCCATGACGCCTCCTGCTGATGCTGCTGCGAAAGAAGTCTGCGGATCTGCTAACGTCTACTCCGAGGTTACCAGTAGTACATTTTTATTTAAAGCTTTCGTGACTGCAGGGATTCATGTTCTTGGTTCATTTTTCAAAATTTTCTTGCTGTGGGTTTCACACCTGATGATGATTAGCTTGTGTTGCAGTCGAAACGTCGTGAGAATTTTTATTGTTTTATATTAATATTATTTTATTATTTCCCTTCTATGTGACTTTACCGAAAGAACCAAGAATATATTACCAGTAGTAGTTACCAGTAGTTGTTACCAGTAGTTCACACAAATGGACAAAAACAAAGATCCCCCGCATAGCCTCAGCGACTTTTGGGGCAAGTGCTGTAATAGACACACACACGGATACACGCACACACTTGGCAAACCTATTCATGCCACTGTAAACTGATGCCATACACACACTCACAGGCAGGCAAGCGGACAGTGCAGTGGGGGAGGTCGAGTGGTGTTGTCTTGCTCTCTTTCATTCCACGTCTGCCGAGTTTGAGAGTGTGGGAGAGAGACACGACTAATGTGAGGGTGGGCCGCTGAGTGTGAGAGAGAGAGAAAAATACAATTTAAAAAAACTAGAGCAAAAGAAAGCAAGAGTTGTACTGTATCAGGAAAGCGTGTAGAGTGTGTGTGTGAGAGAGAGCACGAGGAGAGTGTGCGGGAGAGTGCAAGGAGAGGATGATGGATGAAGGCAGAGAGTGGTGGTGGGGTAGATACATTACAGTGGGAGAGAAGAGGGGACTAAGGAGAGTGGAGCATGTGGGAGAGAGAGATTGAGATGAGAGAGTTGTGTGGGAGGCAGCGGCGTGGCTATCGATGTAGGCAGTGCCAATTGCACCTTGGTACATGGGCCGCAGGCGCCCTGGTTATGAAGTGGGTGGGGGGTTGTGGAATTGGACATGGTGGTGATCCTATTTGATTCCTTGCACCAGGGCCCACGCCAACCATGGCGACACCACGGCGGAGAGGACCGAGTGCGAGAGAGGAGGACGGGAAGGGGGGTCCGGAGACAGGGGAGGGCAAGGGGTGGCAAGCAAGTGTGGCAGTAGATTTGAAGCTTTCGTGACTGCAAGGATCCATACTCTTAGGTATTTTTCGGTAAAGTCACGTAGGTTAAAAATAAAAAAGAAATAATAAAAATAATAGAAATAATAATACCTACGTGACTTTACCGGAAAAAAACCTAAGAGCAAGTGTGGCAGTCCAGAATGGGAGAATGATGAGAGGGGGATGGAAAGAGAAGTCCTGTGGTTGTGAGGTTAGAGAGAGAGAGAATGTAATGGGAGAAACGCTATAATGTAGGGAGAGGGTACAGGGGAGCGATTGGAGATGCGGGGGAGGTGGTTGAGGAACGTTGGGAGAGAGTGTAATCGAGCGAGTGTGAGTTTTCAAGTGTTTATTTCAGAGTAATTTGGCGTCTGACATAGTCGTCGAGCCGTATGAAACAACACCAGATTATAGATGGCCCATTGATTTCTAACTTGAGGGCGTCTCAACCCATGATTGACTCGTAAAAACTACCGCTCCTTTTCTCATGGAGGAGAGCGTTGAAATGCATCTTAGGATCTACTAATTGCGTCAGATGGCCCACTGATTTCTAATTTGAGGGCCTTTCAACCCATGATTGACTCGTAAAAACTACCACTCTTTTTCTCATGGAGCAGAGCGTTGAAATGCATCTTGGGATTTACTAATTGCGTCCACTCATTAGCCCGCATTTCTGGCTCTGAGGTTATCTTCCACCTAGGCGGCAGCCTCGGTCGCCAACTCCTGGGAGCCTCGCCAAGAGCGTTGACTCGCGTATGAAATGGCTCGCATCAGCACAAAACCGTAAAATGTTAAAATTACCGCATGCCATGGCTGTGATCCACGAGCGCTGTACAGTGTGTATAATTTAACAGTACGGTTGGCCCCGGCAACGATTACTGTAAAAGAAAATGTTTTGCAAAGGCGTACGGCAAGGAATGGTCTCAAACTTGATTTGGAGCTTTCGTGACTGCAGGAATTACTCTTTGGTTCTTTTGGTAAAGTCACGTAGAAAGAAAAATAAATTAAATGATAGCATGCGACGTTTCGATTGCAACACAAGCAATCATCATCAGGTACGAATGAAAGAGAAAACAAACCTCGTAAACTTTGAAATATAATTAAATACAACACAGAGAGTCGGCTAACATAAGTCAACACTGGTTGATTACGAATGGTCTCGAGTTCATGCGAGGGCACGGACCATGTAGGGATGGCAGGAGTGTTGTAATATGCGTAATTTGATAATAAAAAATTGTTTGGAATTTGGAACGTGTGCGCAGCATTCGATCGCTGTTATCCACTGAGCTTGATAGATTCAGCGGTGCAGGATACCACAGACAAGCAAGGAAGGTGGCCAATAATTTGCCCAATGCTTTGTGGTCCTATAGTGGGATGTTTGGCCCACGCCCATAAAGATAGATCGTCACGCTCACGATACATGCGTAGAATCGTGCGTGTGCCGATTTTTATTCTTGGTATGATCGAGTTCAGTGTTGCAAGAGCAGCGTGCCTGCTACGACGCGGATCAGAAAAGCTGACAAGGGAAACGAAATTTGTAAAGCGCAAAAAAAGAAACGCGGGAGAGACGTGTGTTGCGACTGTTGTCTGACTTTTTACGTGTGTCGTTTTGCTCTCTTGCAGCACCCACCCAGAAACCAGGTACGTGAACACCCTTTGCCGTTTGGCTTTGATGAGATGTCATGGTTTTGACGTGCATTTTGAGGTCCATTGATAAATCTTTTCCAATGAACGGAACGGTCCGTTTAAAAAAATATATATAACGAGAAGACCAGAGGGTCCGTTTCTTTATGCCAATGAAATATTCTTGTTCCTTGGGACCCATGGATATTCTCTCTGCGTCTTCTCTTTCGTCAGTCGTCACACGGTGGCTCACGATGGAGGCTGGAATGCACTTTTTAAATCTTTTATATTAAGTTCGCTTGCTTGCTTGCGTGCTTGCTTGCTTACGACCGTGCAAACCTTTCGGTCGTTTTTTAACCCACTTCCCGTGATCCAATCGAGCTGACATTTTGCACACAGACTCGTTGTGCGTGACAATTAATGTTCGTGAAAAAAAAATTCCTAAATTTTACACTGTTTAGGGAAAACAAATTAAATATTTAATTACCAATTGTTTAATACTGCAGACAATCATCTGACCCATAGGTGGCAGCCATCTCAAGCCAGAGGACGAGAGGACTCTAGCCGCCACGCATATAAAGGATTTAGAGTGAAATACTTTGTTTTTACGGGTTATACTTATTCCTCTCCTTCCTTCCTCTGGTCACAGCCGACCCCTTCCTGCAAGCCTCCATTTGTTACCCCCAACTCCTCCTGTGTGCCCTCAGTCCACGTCTCGCATTGGAAGGGCGCCTGCTTATTCGCTCAGTCGGTCTCTCCCAGCGGCATGTTGTTAAAGTGGGCCAACTTCCTGGTCGGTTTTGACCATCTGGGTCTCGTCAGCAGATTCTGAAGCTAAACTACTATTTTTATCTTCTTGGTTCTTTCGGTAAAGTCACGTAGAATGGAAATAATAAAATAATAAAAATTAAACATAATAAAAGAATATTTTTATTATTTGATTACTTCCCTTCTACGTGACTTTACTGAAAGAACCAAGAAGATGAATCCCTGCAGTCACGAAAGCTTTAAATCGAAATTTACTATTTTTATTTTAGGTGGTAGGGCCCGACTGGGCTATGTAGCTCTTTCAGAAGCGACCTGGCCACAAATGATAGCTCAACGAAGTGGCTTATGTGGAAATGTATAGCAGCCAGATAGTAATAATAATCAACTTTCTAAAAACACCAAGGTAAACAGCTGTGAAACAGTGGACACGGTGGCAAGATGTTAGCTCTACCTCCCCTGGAGTTGATGGTTTCAATCCCGACCCCGACGCCTGTATATTTGGAGTTTGCATGTCTTTCTTCCCGTGATCGCATGGATTTTTCTCCAGGTTCTCTGGTTTTTACCTCACATGATAATTTTTACGTAATAAGCCACTTTGTTAAGCTATCATTTGTGGCCAGGTCGCGTCTGAAAAATAGCTATACACCTCCGTGGGCCTTAACTAGTAAAAATAGTTTAGTTTTAATCGGGGCGGCCTCCGGATTTGAACCGTGAGCCTCTGCAACGAGCAGCGAAACACGCTGCCAAGAGGCTGCGTCACCGACACTAAGCGGTGGAGCAGACCTGACTCTGCTGATGTGACCCAGAATGTTGAAACCAGTCCGGGTTTTTGTTTCCTCCTAACACGTATGCCGCTGGAGAAAACATTGGTATAGATGTCCCATAGGCTGATGAACCAAACAAATTATGAATTTTACGTAGAGACGTGGATTTCCTGTGTTGTTATATATTTCATTATTTGAATTGTCAGCAGCATTAACTAAACATCGTTTGTTTACATCAGTAGCAAAAGCATCATCATCATTCGGTTCATCATCAGGCCCATAATCGAGTTTAATCATTGCCGTCATCGTTGTTGTCTTGTTTGGTTCTACAGGGTTAAGCGACGATGACCTCTTTGATTTGTACGACGACGACGACAATGGTAAGTAATGAAGATGCAGTGTGACCTCCCCGAGTCACCCACCCGCTCACTGACCACTTCAATGACTTGCCTGCTCACCCACTTCTCCACTCACCCACTTGTACATTTGCTCGGCAATGTGCTTGCTTGCTTATTTTCTTACTGTCGCACTTACCCCCTCGATTGCTAGTTCACTCAGATACTCGCCCACCTGCTCACTCGTTCACTGACTTGCTCACTCACCCAAACACCGACTTTTATTTATTTGCTTTCTCGGTCATACACCTATTAAATCCTCAACTTATATATTGACCCGCTCGCTCATCCGCCCACTTACTCACTTATCCACTGAGCAGCTTCCTCTGCTGATTTGCTTTCGCTCTCGCTTGCTCGCTCACCTATTTTCCACTCGCCCACTTACGTCCTCTCCCAGTCACCCGTTTACTCGGTCACCCATCTGTTCGCTTACTCGCTCAGTCGCGCGTCTTCCACTGGTAGACATTGCCTGCATAAACTTCCAGTCTATAAATAACCGCCATTTATAATTAGCCCTGTAATTCGGTGTAAAAACACACTGCACACGCGCACACACACGTGTACCATCGTCGCCCATTCGTTCCGTCACCATGAGGGTATCCTAACTGAACCAGCTTCCTTTATTGAACTGCGTGCGAGTACTGCTAAATAAAATAGCAGCTTCCTCTCGCAAAGTATATCCTCAGAGTTGCTAATCACAGCCCTTACCTGCGAGCTGAATGCGAGCAGGTAAGGGCTGATGTGAATCCAGAGTTTACCACAAAGTTATAATATTTATGTTGTCCAAATGTGACCCCATCTCAAGAAGCAGTGCAGAAATTGTGGGTGTGTATATTTCATAGAGGGAGTTATGGGGAGTGTGATAGGGAGGGCGAAGTGGAGCAAGGTCCTAAGCTGTTGTCGCTCGACCAGTTGCGGGGAAGTCCGCCGCGTGGGTGTCTGGGACAAGAAGGGCGTTCCTGAAAGTGGCGGCAGCAGAGGGGGGGGATGAGCCACCAACCACTGGGAGAAGGCTTAAACGGGGGCGTTGACGGAAAGCCCTGCATGGCATAGCAGTGGAGTGCTTGGAGGGGAGTAGAAATGAGAGTCAGGAGAGTGCGTGGAGGGGAGTAAAAGTTCGCCCGTCGGTTTGCAACTTTGAGACCCTTATTGTGATGCAAGAATAAGCAGACAAAAACGTTTACTGTGGAGACAAACAACTGAGCGACCACTGCCTCACTGACATCTGCGATTTGCAAAGCGATAGATACCGGTGGTCTCGGCCCAGTTACCAATAACTACACCAATAAAAGCATCATGTTTAAATGTGGGGTTTCAACCAATTTTTCTGAACCCAGCACTGAGAATAATAAAAAACCCGCTGCTTCGTTTGCACATGACGAAGGGTTTTTGCAGAGGAAGTGAACGGTATTCCCTTCATATGGTCAGTTTATTTCTGGTAAGGCCCAATGAGCTAAGGAATTTTTTTTTTCTCCGTCGGCGACCCAAATTCCGACGCAATTCTGTGACGTCAATCTTCTGGGGCCATCCTCGGTCATATGGTGCGCGGCTCCCTGCAATAACCTGAAACTAAGCAATGTTTTTTTACTTGACCAGGTAAGGCCAACTGAGCTAAGTAGCTCTTTCAGAAGCGACATGGCCACAAGTGATAGCTCAACGAAGTTGCTTATCGTCATGTGGACATTTATAGCAGCCAAATAATCTAAACGCATTTTTCTAAACGCGGAGTGAAAAACCGGAGGACCCGGAAAAAAAATCCACGCGGCAATGGGGAGAACATGCAAACCCCAAATATGCAGGCGTCAGGGTTTGTATCGAACCCACGACCCCTGCATACTAGGCGAAGGAGTTAACATCTTGCCATGGCGGCACCGATAGTTCTGCATGGAAATGTAATCTTGTCTCATGACGTGATGAACATCTGTGACCAAATCGCCCTGAAATGCACCTAAAATCTCTAGATCTCACAAGCTAAGCATGAGTTTGACTGGGGATGATGCTTGGACATGCGACCGCTGCACACAGCTTCTGAAAAAGAGCTATATAGCTCAGTGGGCCTTACCTGGTAAAATAATATAGAAATAGTTTTAATAGTTTACAGTTACAGGTGGCCTGTGGGGCCACATCGTGGGCATCGGAGGACAATGCAACAAAATCCCGCTGTACTGTACTTGTATGCCCCCACGTCTCTATGCATGCCCACCTTCACAAACCCAACACTTTTACCAGCGTGGTGAAGTACGGTCAAACAACCCCCACGACCCGCACAGCGTGGAGGGGGAGGCCCTCATCCAGCGGCGGGTTGACAGTAGTTCAAGTTCAAGTTCATTTATTAGGTAGAGCCCTGTGAGCCATTCGGCTCTTGAATCGGGTGCAACCGCAACAAACAAAAAACAAAAACATGAACAAAAAACATCTTAAAGTGAATATGTGACTATTTGCAAACAGAAAATCCAAGAAAAGACAGCAAAATATTGCAGAAAAAAACACCGTACACCAACGCTGTGTGCAAAAATCCCAGTGGGATGCAAGTCAAACCACAATAACAACAACCACAAGACAACTTAGATTAAGGCCATCAGTCTAACTCTGTACTACAACAAACAAACATGGCTAAACCAATACACTTTTCGAAATCACCAAAATAAAGCCATGAAAGCAATGAAAAAGCAATCCTAGGAACTGTGACGGAATTTTCACAATAAATGGCATAAACATGTACTGCCAAAACCTTGCAGCCATAGCTGGCTGCATAAGCCACTCCACAACAGCAGGAGCATCAATAGGAGTTGATTACTCCTGAAGCTGTTGGTTGGGGGGGGGTGGAGGTCAGAAGTTTGTACGATTAACGTTTAAAGTTCCACTTGGCATCCTTCAATATCCGAGGGTTTAGTTTCTTCCGCTGCTTTGGTTTAAGCCGCCACCCGAACGGGAGTGATTTTGCTACAGCAGGGAAATAACGCAAAGCAGGAAATTGGCAGCGATTCATCGACGGAGGCAATTAATCCCGCCGCTTATTGTCCCATTGCCCTGTGGATTTAGCGAATTCACCGGCTGTCCCTTCTGTTTCCTGTACATGGGGCTCGGGGTTGTCTCGCTGGTTCACTGTGCCCGGCCGGTGATGATGATGAGTCACAACGCAGGCATTTCTCCCCTTACGCAGGCTGCATTCCGCGATTCAAATCGCCTCCCCAATGGCCCATCACGAATCACGTGCGCGTGTAGACCGTGTGTGCATATGTAAAGACAAAGATCCCCCGTATAGCCTTAACATACTGTTTGGGCAAGTGCTGTTAGCGAGCACCTATTAAGGCCGGCACGGTACACGAGGGGGTGGGTGGCCAGCACCACGCCCGACCGCCTTTGTCTCCCCAGTGGCGATATTCGTACGAACCACATTAGGTACTCATTTGAGGCTGAGTCGACCTCGGAGAGGCCCAGGACAGGTTCAGATAAAAGTCACTGATGTTGGCCATGAGCGGGAATCAAACTCGGGTCGCCAGGTTCGTATCGCAGCGTGCTAACCGCTACACCACCACTCCCCACTATGTACATATACACAAAGACAAAGATCCCCCGTATAGCCTTAACAGACTGTATGGGCAAGTGCTGTTGGCGAGCACCTATGAAGGCCGGCACGGCACACGAGGGAGTGGGTCGCAAACACCACGCCTGGCCGCCTTTGTCTCCCGAGTGACGATGTTTACACATCGCACCAGGTACTCATTTGAGGCTGAGTCGACCTAGGGGAGGCCCGGGACCGGTTCAGATAATCGTCACTGGTGTTGGCCGTGAACGGGAATCGAACCTGGGTTGCCAGGTTCATAGTGCAGCACGCTAACCGCTACACTACCGCTCCCCACCATATCCACAAACACATACACACACAGTGCCTACCTCATCACTTAAGACTGTCAAATCCACAATTCCTCCCATATTTAACGGTTGTATTATTATCAGTACTAACACCATTAATCTGCTTGGTACAGCATCTGTGCTGGCATGGAATGGCTGCAATGTTACTAAAACGGCTAAGGAGTTATCGGAGAAGCGTGGTTTTTCTTTCCGTGCCAAAGCATTCATCTTTAACTCTGAATAATTATTATTTCCGCAATACAAAACACGCAACAATGCACTCGATCACTGACCCACTCATTTACCACGCTACAGATCACAACAACACACTCACCCACACACTCACCCACACACTCACCCACACACTTGCCCACCCACACACTCACTCACTCAACCACCACACTACAGATCGCAACAACACACTCGCACACTCGCCCACCCACACACTCACCCACCCACACACTCACCCACCCACACACTCAACCACTACACTACAGATCACAACAACACATCCACACACTCGCCTACCCATACACTCACCCACTCAACCACCACACTCCAGATCACAACAACACACCCACACACTCGCCCACCCACACACTCACCCACTCAACCACCACACTACAGATCACAACAACACACTCGCCCACCCACACACTCACCCACTCACTCATCCACACACTCACCCACCCACACACTCAACCACTACACTACAGATCACAACAACACACCCACACACTCGCCCACCCATACACTCACCCACTCAACCACCACAATCCAGATCACAATAACACACCCACACACTCGCCCACCCACACACTCACCCACTCAACCACCACACTACAGATCACAACAACACACACTCGCCCACCCACACACTCACCCACCCACACACTTAACCACTACACTACAGATCACAACAACACACCCACACAATCGCCCACCCACACACTCACCCACTCAACCACCACACTACAGATCACAACAACACATTCACACACTCGCCCACCCACACACTCACCCACTCAACCACCACACTACAGATCACAACAACACACCCACACTCGCCCATCCACACACTCACCCACTCACTCACCCACACACTCACCCACCCACTCACCCACTCACTCACCCACACACTCACCCACTCAACCACCACACTACAGATCAAAACAACACACACACTCGCCCACCCATACACTCACCCACTCACTCACCCACACACTCACCCACCCACACACTCAACCACCACACTACAGATCACAACAACACACCCACACACTCCACCCACACACTCACCCACTCACTCACCCACTCACCCACTCACCCACTCACTCACCCACCCACTCACCCACTCACTCACACACACACACTCACCCACCCACACACTCACCCACTCCACCACCACACTACAGATCACAACACTTTCCCTTTCCGCCTTTCCCCCCGTACCATGCTCCACTTTGAAATAGCTCGTATACACACCCATGAATACACACATCCTATATACACGTATCCTATGCTGTATACACATACCCTATATACACACACATGCAAACTTTTTGTAACGGTACGGCGAGTGTGGTTTCACCGGGGGCCTCTGGTCCGAAGACCTGGCGGACCCAGTTACCCGTGGCTGCTGATGAGGATCCGTGCTCGAGTCTGAGTCAGTTTTGCAGCAGACGTTAGAACAGCGCTGTAACGAGTGTTTGTTTACTTACACTCCCTATGCACACACTCTGTACAAACATAAACCTTATATTGTATACACAGCCGATACGCATGCATTGTATACACATCTCATGCTCGTACACATAGCTGACATATGCACACACAGCCCAAAATACTTGCAAACCCATATGTACACACATGTGCATACGTGTACTCCATATACATCCAACTCATGCCACATCCATTATCTCACCCTGCCCCCCCCCGCCTCCTACATGCTCTACTCTTTTGACCACGTGGAAATGGCTGCTGCTCCCAATGAATATTTCACGAGTGACCGTTGTCACGGCGTTTGCTTTTGCACGACAGGACAAACCTCCTCGTGTCTCTGCGGTGGAGAGGGCGGGTGTTGGGGGGGGTGGTAGGGGGCAGCCCTGCCCCCTTCACCTATACCCTCCCCCTGCCCTTCGACGTGCGTTCTGAACCAGCGATAGCTTCACTGACAGGCTCCCTCGGCAATGCCCCACACGACACGTTGCGTTCACTTACTCGTTTCGTGGCAGTCGGGGTGATTGGTGATCCAGTGCTTGCCTGCTTAACTCCCAGTCGCTCGTTCACTCACTATCGGCGGTCAGCCACCTTCCCTGTCACTCTTCTATCACTACTACCATGGTAACTGCGAACTTCGATTATTGATTCGTGAATATTGCTAATTGACTCCTGGAATTTGTGAAAAAGAGCCTTAGAGCTCATCGGATTCTTCCAGTATTAAGACATATTCGGATTCCTCCCCCCGTGTTGAGCACTCGCCCAGCGTGGCAGGGCGGTGGCGCAGTGGTGAGGCTCGTGCCTCCACAGCAAGAATGGCCCGGGCTCGATTCCCGACTTGGGTCACCCTTTTTGTGTGAAGTTTGTACATTATCCCCCTGTTCCGCATGCATTTCCTCCCGTATCTGACATACAGTGCAACTGGAATCGTCCAAAACATCCCAATGCTGCACTCATTGTTGAGGAACTTCCATGCAGTGGCTGCATCACTCAGGAGGAGTAGCAGAAGCTTGGTTTTCTTCCTTGCCACACAGCCGCCGTCCCTTAACTCGAAACAATTATTATTTGGCGGTCCTAGACAAAGCAGAAATCACTCGCCACTGATGTTCACCTTGGCCGGGAATTGAACTGGGGTTGTCGGGTCCCGAGCGCGGCATCTGAACCACTGCCATCTCCACTCCCATCTCCCACTTGTGTTTGTTGTGGAGTCGGCTGTCCCATGGGACTTTGTCAGTGACTGCCCCTGTTTGCCAGAAAAAAAGCACTATTACATTTTTAATGCGTGGCAACCTCCAGTTGCTTCTCAATTTGCGGTTTGCATGAGACACCCAACCCAGCGAACAAAGGAGTCGTTGTTTCTGCCGAGTCCGCTTGTCTGGCCTGTCCGAGTTTGAATCTTCCCCAGTGAGACACAATAACTTCAAAGCGACTTACAGGAGACCGCTGGCAATGTTGTTATATCGGTGTTTGTACATCGGCACAGTCGTTTTGGCCAAATCCACTGCTGGATGAGGTCTCGTGGGGGCAGATTGTGGACCGTACTTCACCAACGGTGGTCAGTGCTGCGCTACGAACCCGGAGACCCGAGTTCGATACCTGCTCACGGCCAACGCCAGTCACAATTATCTGAACCAGTTCTGGACCTCCTTTAGATCGACTTGGCCTCAAATGAGTACTTGTTGCAACGTGTAAACATCAGCACTGGGGAGACGAGAAGGCGGCCGGGCGTGGTGCTGATCACCCCACCGCCCTCGTGTGCCGTGCCGGCCTTCACAAGTGCTACTCACTTAACGAGCACTTACCTCAACAGTCTGTTAAATGGCTACCCGGGGGATCTGTGTCGTTTTGTGTCTGTGCGTGTGCGCGTTTGACAGATCCGAAGCCAACGACCAAATCCCAGACCACAACAACCGCTGCCACTACTACAACGAATAAACCCCCACCCCCAAAATCAATGGACGACCTCGACCTTCTGGACTTTGGAGATCCGGGAAAGAAATCCGGTACAATGCTGTGTACACACAGACATACTTGGCCGCTATACATTTCTACGTAATGAGCCACTTCGTTGAGCTATCATTTGTGGCCGATTTGCTACTGAAAAAGAGCTACATATTTCGATTTAAAGCTTTCGTGACTGCAGGGATTCATATTCTTGGTTCTTTCGGTAAAGTCACGTAGAAGGGAAATAATAAATTAATAAAAATGAAGAAGAGCTACATAGCTTCGTGGGCTTTATCTGGTAAAAAAAAATAGTTTTAGTTTATTTATTTTTTGCGATTTGCTCACCTTTTCAATACTGTGCACTCCCGTGTGTTTTTTTGTGTTCTTGTAATTTTCTGAGCCACCCCCCAAACTGGACATCTGTGAAAAAGAGCTTAATAGCTCATCGGATTTCTGCAAGATAAATCGATGAATATTCTTATTCTAACTACTACCGCATGAAAGCGAGGAGCACGTGGCCCTTGCGAGCTTTGTCGATATCGTCGACCCGAGGGAAGACCAAGGACCATGTCGGGGCAGGGGATACTGTTAGGGCAAGATGTTGAAGGGTGCCGCGGTTGAAAGCGTTGCCACGGGGTGGGTGTTGCCCCCCCCCTCCCCCCCTGACGTCGGTGCACTGATGACTCCTCGATGCGGTGCACGGTTGCCGTTTGTGTGCCGAGTCCGTAAAGTTTGCCCGCGTGTCCCCCGTGCAGACACGCCCACCAAGCCCAAAGACAACGACGTTCCATCGAGGTCCGGCGGTGGCGGTGGTGGTGAGTGGGTGTTTTTATTTTTTTGGTTTTTCCACCGTTTCACCGTAAGCCAAGCTAAACAACTCGCGCACACGTGTTGAGGATGTTTGCCGACGAGACAAAGGGAAGCCTCCTTCCTCTACGCAACAAACGCGGGGGAGGTCAGGTGGTGCGATCGTGAGCTTAGACATTGCTTGACCTTTCCTTCTCCCTGTGTCCGCTTACCCAGAGTTCAGCGACGATGATCTGTTTGGGGGTGGAGATCCCAGCAACAAGCCAGGTAATACCTCCAAAAGCCACGAATCGGTGACATATTCGTCTTCGTATCGTTCGCTGTCCTATTGTTTGCCATCCAATTGTTTGACGTCCTATTCATCATTCTGTTGTTCATCTTGTTGTTAATTATCCTCTTGTTCTTCATCGTATTGTTTTTCAAAATAAAAAATTATAAATATTTCTGTGTTTAGTTGTCCCTCCCCCCGCAACTCCAATTGGCACGGTTGGCTACGTACGGTGCGAAAGAAGTTCTACGTACAAACATCCTCTCGTTCGTTATTATTTTGTCCATCATCCTGTTGTCCATCTTGCGATTGCTGGATGCGCAAATGGGAACCACTTTTTTATTCGAGCGAGGGTGAGCGCACAAGTCGCGCAGTGGCTATGCACACGTGTCATCGACCACTGTGGGAGGCGGCGGCGGGGGCGGTTGGTGGATCACACACGTGCTTTTAAACTCCCTCCCATACCCCGGCTCACCAGGAGAAAGGCTGAACAGCTAAAAATCTGGACTCCACCTGTCCCATCTGCGCGGGGGAAAACCGTGTTGCCCCATCACACGTGTGGATTGGTGTTCTCCGGTTTCCTCCCGCAATCAAACGCTCATTTAATTGGCCGATAACACCTTAACATATAAACGAAACGAGCTTTTAGTTTTTACCAGGTAAGGCCCACTGAGCTATGTAGGTATCTTTCAGAATTGACCTGGCTTATGTGGAAATATATAGCAGCCAAATACTCTCAACGGATGTTTCTAGACGTGGAGGGAAAAATACATACGATGGCGAGAACATGCAAACTCCACATATACACGCGTCAGGGCCGGGATCAAACGCAGGCGAGGTAGTTAGCATATATAGAGGATCGCAGAGCTTGGTGTCGGGGGGGGGGTGGAATTTGTCACCGGGTCACCGGCCTGTTTGCTGCCATTTCAAGTTGCTCTGTCATGGCCCCTCCTCGTGCCTCTTGAGTCATCCTCCCTCTCTCTGCCAGAACGAGCGGATACTGTGCGGTGTGTGGAGGTGGCGGTGCGTTACAAGTCAATGATTATTATTACTGTGTCAATCAATGTTCTTCATTGCAAGGCCCACCCCCCCCCTCCCCCCCCCCTCCCCCCCCCGACAATACACACGTGAAAACATCCCTTCATCATCGTGCAACCATCATCCTTGGTAATCCCTTGTAACGTGCACCCATGACCGCCTTCATGGGTAGGTCGCCCCCGAATAAAAGTGCTGCTTGGATCAGTGGGCCTTAAACTGTATTTAATTGAGCGTGTTCTCGTGTTGTGGGGAGTGGAAGTGTAGTGGTTAGCACGCTGCGTTATGAACCTGGCGGCACTGATTTCGATTCCCGCTCATAAGCCAATAACGGTGGCGAATAAGTGAACTGGTCCCGGGCCTCCCTTTAGGTCGACTCGGCTTCAAATGAGTACTTGATGTGGTGTGTAATAAACATCGGCACTGGGGGGTGCTGATCACCCACCCCCACGTGTGCCGTGCGGGCCTTAATAGGTGCTGCTTGTGAACAGCCCTTGCCCCAGCCATCTGTTAAAGGCTATACGGGTGTCTTTGTATTTGTGTACTGTTGACAGTGATTCCAGCAAAGCCCAAGACGGATCACAATTTTGATGGAACCAACAGTGGATGTAAGTAACCCTGTGCATCGCCCACTCTCGCGTCATTGCGCATCTCACACATCTGCCCCCCCCCCTCTTCTCACCCTTCCTCTGTCCCGCCCTGTCCTCAATGGCCACAAATCCGTTTTAATCTCTCTTAATTTCACGATAAACGATTCAAAAGCCAATTCTGCAAGCCAACTTACATTACGAGGAAACTTATGTTCCTTCATGTGCAATATATGTTACTGCACTATTTTCTATTTCTCCTGTAGCGTGGCAGTTCTAGCTCTTATGTTTTCCATTTGCTTCATTGCTAAACTTTTATTGGGTTTATTGTTGATTTTGTTGTTTCGTCGACCCTGGTCTCTCTTGCGAATGACACTTAGGCTGATCTCGCTTGAGTTCTCACCTGGATAATAATTTACAGCTTAAACTCAAACTCAATCTCCTTCCCGGCGAAGAGGGCCGCCTGGCTCTAACCGTTCGGAGATCTTATAATGGCCAACCGGGGATCTCGTTTGGGGAAAGTTGCAGAAAATGTATCCGTGGTCCGATTATCCGGCTTGCGGATTAACTGTGCTTGTTCGGTGCCATCTTTAAACCGGCACGTTGGTTTAATTATTAGCTGCTCCTCGCTCGTTGAGGGCCTCTGACTTAGATGCCAAAACTCCGGCTTGGCCCAGAGTTTGGAGTGTAAAAATTACGTTTGACCCCCCCCTTACCCCTCTTGCGAATACAGTTAACTCTTGGGTTATCTGTGGGTGTATTATCAGGCCTCCTCATTGACCGCCCCTGCAGAAATGTTTTTATAGTTATTTTTTTTACACGCCCTGTACTTTAATTTATCAGCTGCTCCTCACTCGTTGTGGGCAAGGGATGTAGTGCGCACGTGGGTGAGTCAAACCGAGTACTTTGAGAGGCAATCAAAACGGACAACGCTTTCCACGGTCATTCATGTTCTATGTTTTTTATAGCCCAGTTTCCATGCGTTTTGAATTATCCTCCGTATCATTTGTCCGGTAAAATGATATGGGGAGAGGGGAGAGCTAGGAGAGTGTGTGGAGTGGGGAAAGGGTGAGATGAAAGAGGAGAGGTAGTAGAGAGATGAGGGGAGATGTAGGAGAGCGATTGGGGTGGAGTAGAGTGAGATAAGAGGGGAGCGGAGGCGTAGGGGAGTCCGTGGACGATCTTGAAGACTGCAAGTTGTGAACTTGGAGTTCACGCAGGATGGGATTGGGATGTAGCGGAGGGATCGGCATGGGTGGGAGGGGGGGGGGCAATGCCACCTGATGTTCCATCAATGGGGGTGGTCGCGACGGTCGAATGATTGTGCCCTCATTTCCTCCTCTACCCCGTTCCCCACCACTGCCACCGCCAGCCATCAGTGACGACGACCTCCTCGACATCACGGGGGGGAAGAGGCCAGCGGGGGGCGGTGGCAGTGGCGGCAGTGGTGCCCGCGGAGGTGAGCAGAGAACGCGCGGCGCTCGTAGCGAACGTAGGCAGGAGTACAGGTCAATGTTGCACCTCCGATTAACATGGTTGGCTACGTACGGTGCAAAAGAAGTTCAACATACATACGTACGACATCGTCTACGGCGACCGTCACTTATCTGCCCCGACCGATTAACCGCCCGCACCCCCTGCAGCGTTACTGCGTTGGGTGTAACGGTCATTTTATAACGACGTTCGCCAAGCGGACCTTGGGCACGAACGGTAACGTTTGCCCAATCTCGTGTGGGCGTGTACCAAATTGCAGCACCTCCTAGCGCCGTAGGGCAAGAGAGGTCACTTGAAGAGATCTCAGAAGTAGTTCTGTGATGTCTCCTTCCCTGAATGGAATTATCGTCTCGTGACGACGCCAATCGTGCAGTCGGAATAACATTTGAATAAATAAAAAACTATTTTATACGTGGATATTTTGTTTAAATGTAAAAACGTAAAATAATTGTTGTGTTCTCTCTCCCCCTTCAATCAACTCTCTCCAGGCAACATCCCGTCTCCTACAACCGGACCGGGTAGGTCGCAGTTTTATGTTTTTACATCTTAACCTCATGTTAGTGACGGGGTGGTGACGTTCATGGCGGGATGGAGATAATGTTGATGGGGTGGTGTGACGTAGGTGGTGAGGTGGCGATGTTCATAATGGGATGATGATGATGGGGTGGGGATGTTCGTCACGGGGTGGCGATGGGGCGGTGATGTTGGCGACGGGGCGGTGATGTTGGCGACGGGGTGGCCGGTGTCTGTTAGACGCAGATGCTGCGGTTCCTGGGACGGTCGCGGGGATTCTGGGAGCGCTGGCGGCCGCGATCCTAGCGGGCGGCTCCAGTTTTGTGGCGTACCAGAAGAAAAAGCTGTGCTTCAAGGCCCCCGGTGACAACCCCCCTCACCTCTACTCACCACCACCGGCACTCCTATTTATACAAAGACAAAGAACCCCTGTATAGCCTTAACAGACTGTTGGGGCAAGTGCTGTTGGCGAGCACCTTTGAAGGCCGGCACAGCACACGAGGGTGTCGGTGGCCAGCACCACGCCTGGCTGCCTTTGTCTCCCTAGTCGCGATGTTTACATACTGCACTAGGTACTCATTTAAAGCTGAGTCGACATAAGGGAGGCCCGGGACCGTTTCAGATATTTGTCACCAGTATTGGCCATGATGAGCGGGAATCGAACTCCGGTCGTCGCGCTCGTAAGCGCAGCGCACCAACCGTTGCTCCACCGCTCCCCATATCTATGTGTGTTGAACTCGTTTCGCACCGTACGTAGCCAACTGCGCTATTCGGAGGTGCGGGGGGAAGGACAACAAACTAAACACCAAAAGCACTTTTGAAGAAATTAATTTTTATTCTAGATTTAAAAGTGCATAGCTCCTATCGATACACGCCACCGCTCACCACGCACCTATAACGACGAAGACGATGATGACGACGGTAATTCTTTGCTAACCCCGGCCTCCTCGTGTTCCTGCGCAGACGACGGCGAGGGTCAACCTGACGGGCAGCGGGGTGAAGATCCTCAACGTAAGTTGCCTCGCTTCCGCCCTGCACCATTCGCCGCTTCCCTTTATCGAACCCTGCCACGCTGCGTGCACGCGGCTAAACAAGACGGCCTCCTCCGCCCTCTGTGTGTGTCACCGATATCGGCAATATGCCCGGTCGGGGTCGCCCAGTCGCTAAACTAAACTAAACTTTTTATTTTACCAGGTAAGGCACCACTGGGCTATGTAGCTCTTTATCAGAAGCGACCTGGCTGTCACAAATGATAGCTCAATGGTGAAGTGGCTTATCGTGTAGAGATTTATCGCAGCTAAATAATCTGAACGCATGCCGAGTCTAAATGTGGAATGAAAAACCGGAAGACCCGGAGAAAAATCCACGCGACCACGGGGAGAGAGACATGCAAGCTCCAAATATACAGCCCTTGCAGGGTCGGTAAAATGGGTATCACCGGTTTGTGGCAAATCGGCAGCAGTCGCGCCACAGATACCAAAAGGCTGCACCCCATTTCCCGCCCTCTTGGATATTGGAAGCTAAGCAAAGGTTGAGCCTGGATAGCGTTTGGATGGGCGACCACCAACTGTGTCTCACGACAGGTTTGCTGCTGTGTGCATGCGTTGTTACACTGCACGTCTATGCTCCCAACGTCCCCGCATCCCCCCGCCTTCAACCAGCGCGTTGGAATTACGGCCCATTAACTGCCGTGGACCTGCACGGTGTGCCGGGCAGGCCCCTCATCCAGCAGCGGATACACAGTCGGGCTGTATGTGACATGTACAGAGTGCTTAAAAAAAATGTTAACACTGACATGGGACTATCGTTTTTAATGGAAAAAGAATGGATAATACAATAACATGATAACAACTGTATGTTAATAGCTTCAAAAAGTCAGTCTCCATTTGTTCGCCATAATTGTTATTGCGTACCTGGAATCGTCTCCAGAGCCCGGAGGCACATTTATTGTATTTTTGCAAATTCTCAGAAGTGTTTACATTTTTTTGAAGCACCATGTATATATATACTGTTAGGATGATTGCGCTATTTGACTGTGAGGTTGCATAGTTTGTAGGATCTGTTCCAACTACGCGGCAACTTGAGTTTTCTCAGCTTTTTTCTATTTTTCTGTGTTCTCTCTCTCTCACGGCCACTGCCTGGCAGGGTCGGGTATCGGATTTGGCAAGAGGTGCCCTTGTGAAACAAAACGACCTTGCCTGGCACCACAGGCTTGTTTATCCGGGGCAAAGCTGTGAGCGTGAAAGAAAACTAAGAACTAAACTATTTTTTATTTGACCAGGTAATGCCCCACTGAGCTATTTAGCGACCTGGCCACAAATGACAGCTCAACAAAATGGCTCATTGTGTGCAAATTTATAGCAGCCAAATACTCGAAACGTGTGACGTTGATTTTAAATGTGGAGGGAAGAATCGGGAGGACCCGGAGAAAAACCCACGCGGCCACGGGGGAGAACATGCAAACTCCAAATATACAGGCATCAGGGTGGAGATCGAACCCACGACCTCCTGTATACCAGGGGAAATAGTTAACATCTCGCCACGGGGGCGAGGTGTTAAGAGGGGGCCCTGCTTTGTGTTTCGGCCCAGGTGCATTCATGCGGCCCCTCCACACCTGGGCAGTTCAGTTGCAAGCAACTCGGTTGCTCACTCCCACAACCGGAGACCTCCACGGGATAGTCGGCAGGCGGCTCATTGCCACTTCGCGAGCAGTTTGCTTATGCGACTGACGGCCTTCTTAACCGCTTGCGTCTGCAGTGCATGATGATGATGATGATATTAACACCTTTGTCTCTCGTTCATAAAACATTTCCACGTTTGTCTTCACGTCGCTCATTGCCACCTCGGCCTTCCATTGACTGTTTCTCCACTTCTGCTATTCCTTCCCTTTTTCCTCGAACAACATTTATTTCCATTTCTCCTTTTGCGTTGTCCCGCCATTGCGGTGTCATTGTTTTGGACATTTCAGTTATGAACATTATCTGCCCCATAGTTTTCAGCGCTCTGCTCAGCCAGGCGTCCCGGTTTTTCTCCGGAGGCGGCACGCAGCAGCAGCAGCAGCAACAGCAGCAGCAGCAACAACAGCCTGGATCGCCCCTACACGATGGTTATGTCGACGAGGAGAAGGTGTAAGGACACGTTTCAACCGCCCGGCAAAACCAAACCAACCAGCCTCCTTTGCCGTCGCCGCCACCACCGCTCAAGGCTCTGTGAAAATTGGCACCACGAAAAAGTTTGCCAGGAAACGAAATGAATGGACGGAAGTTGCTTGTGCATATGTTTTTTTTGCGGTTGTTGCTGTATCATTCTCAAATGTGTTACTCGGGCTGGTTGTTAGTCGTCGTGCTGTCCCGACGTTTCCTATCCATGCGCTGTGGCGCACCTTAAAGTTCGTTTTCCCGAAGAAGCTCCCCAGCGCGTGGAGCGAGACGTCGGACGTCGTGCCGACGTCGGACGTCGTGCCGACGTCGGACGTCGTGCCGACGTCGGACGTCGTGCCGACGTCGGACGTCGTGCCGACGTCGGACGTCGTGCCGACGTCGGACGTCGTGCCGACGTCGGACGTCGTGCCGACGTCGGACGTCGTGCCGACGTCGGACGTCGTGCCGACGTCGGACGTCGTGCCGACGTCGGACGTCGTGCCGACGTCGGACGTCGTGCCGACGTCGGACGTCGTGCCGACGTCGGACGTCGTGCCGACGTCGGACGTCGTGCCGACGTCGGACGTCGTGCCGACGTCGGACGTCGTGCCGACGTCGGACGTCGTGCCGACGTCGGACGTCGTGCCGACGTCGGACGTCGTGCCGACGTCGGACGTCGTGCCGACGTCGGACGTCGTGCCGACGTCGGACGTCGTGCCGACGTCGGACGTCGTGCCGACGTCGGACGTCGTGGTACCACCCGGGGATGGTACGTCGCGGAACTTGCCCGCCCGTTGGTTTTAAAACTGATTGCTTTTCGTTGTTCTTGTGTCACATTAGGTTGCACTGTGAGGGGGCGCCTGACAGACGACGGGTTCGACTTTGATTTTAAAATTGCAGGACTTTTAGGTGTTACTGTTAAGAGAGGGACAAAGGGGGGGTAGAGGGGTTAGGGTCAGGACGGGCGGGGGGGATACTCGTGCTTTGCTATTTCTTTTGCGCCCCAATTTACCCAGACACTGCCCTTCTTCCTGCCAGAACTTGCCGCGTGATGACGCGTTATTTTCCGCGGACAGAATTTTCTTATCAGTGTCGTGTTTTACAAACTGCATTTTTTTAGTTTTCAAACGTGAATAGTGAAAGCCCTTAATTTTTTTATCGGCACGACTTTAGTTTTTCTTGAAAAAATTTAAGAGGTGAAAAAAAAGAGGTCAAAGAAACGTCGCTTCATATTGAGCGAGCGATTTGCCAAAACCGTTGGGCTCCATGTACGGAATTTTGTGCTCTTAGCGTCTCGCTCAGCTGAGTTTGCGAGCCCGGCCGCATCCGACTTAGCCCCTGGCGTTTGGCACCCACGGCCGCGTCTACCCCAGAGCGATCGCTTTACGCGTGAACGTCGCTGCAACCAGTTGTGGAAAATTTGAGCGACTGGTTGCTGCTCAACAGAGACGACGGACGTGGACTTCCAAGCGACGGTCTGCTCGGCGATTTGGAGCGGTGCATTCCGTCGCGCCGCAAATTTCTGGACCGACATCGTTCGGTACCATCCTGAACACGCCGTTTACTTGAGACTTTGTGCAACTACTCGCTCAGCTTTCGACGAAGCATCCGAGGGCGTTTTGTTAGTTGCGCGATTTGGACAGCGATTTGCCTGCGTAACTCTTTGCTATCGAGTGTGGAGCCGCTTTGGAGCGATCGTCCGCCGCCTTGCGTACACAGTACAGCCAACTCGCGGTTATCCTCGGGCAGTTTATCCGGCGGCGCAGATTACCCCGTTCTCGCAAACAAGTGAATAAAAGTATCTTTAATCGCGCGCTGGATTAATTGTCGACCGCTGTTCACCCGTTGGGGGTCAGGCGGTTGATTGCGCATGTGACCACCAATCACGTCGGCGGGTAAACCGATTTTAAGAAGCAATACAAACGTGGGGCGACGTGTTCTTGCATGTTCACCTGCGTTCTACGCAAGTAAATTATCGCCTTGGGTGACACGCTTTGCTTTACCCATGTTTTCATTTTATCTAGGCCACCAACAACACCCCCCAACTGCCTACCCCACCCATTATCGCAGCGAACCGAGAGTTGGCTTGTAATGGTTAAGCGTGTGCGTCCAAAAACTCCACGCGTGTGACCTCGTGCTCCCGAGGCCGGAGCCATGTCAACAACGGGGAATCGGTAGGGGAGAGAGCCTGCCTTCTCCGTGACGTTTCATGTTGTTTAAAGCAAATCGGCTGAAAGAAAAACAAGTTAAATATCAACTTCCCATTTTTTTCCCTTCAAATGTATCTGACTGTTCGCATACAACCGGGCGATTTGAACGCGTAACGGTTTCTCTGTGTGGAAAGTTGACCCTTCACCGGTGGTGTGCTCTGCTTGTTCGCCTTTTGTCTGTTATCCATGCCCTCCCCGTGTGGCGAGTTGAGCCAGCATATCGATTCACGTCCTTTCACAGTAGGCTGAAAAACTTTGCCTCGGCGAGAATTTGAGAATACGGCGTTGATTCGCATTACAATGATGGATGGGCCGAACAAGCGTCCCAAGTTTTGTATTGTTGAACCGAGTGAGAATATTGAGAGACCAGGACGAAGTCTGTTGTTCAAAGAGTGGCCTGGGTCTGTCTTTTTGCAACGATTTGCAATGTATGTTCCCAATTGAGTCATGTGCGGTGTCATATTCCAATTTGTAGGAAGAAGAAAAAACTGCAGCCCATGAAATTAGTCCCATCTGGTTCACAAGATCCATTGTTACTCAACTCCAGTCCTCACGGATGCCCATCAGTGTCCAGTTTCCGTTCCGTGTTCCTTTCATTGCAGCCCTTTGTGTCAATCCACTCCTGGATGAGGGCCCCACCCCTCACCTCGTTGGGCTCTCACGAGATTATTTGGTGATACCTCAAGCCGCTCAGCGGAAGTAACAGACCTCGAGCAAAGTACAATGGATTTCGTTACTACTGCCCTCTGCTGTCCACCACGTGAACCGACAGCCATTTTTTTTTACCGTATGCACCTTCATTTGTATTCGTGTGCAGCGCACACGAAACACTGTACAATGGGTGGGGTTTGAGGGCGCGGTTACGAGGATCATCGTATAATAAAACCGGGGATATATCATGGGAAGAATTGGAATATCTCCATACCAGGTGTAGTCTTGACTGGTGTATTATTTCGATTTAAAGCTTTCGTGACTGCAGGGATTCATCTTCTTGGTTCTTTCGGTAAAGTCACGTAGAAGGGAAGTAATGTTTTATTTGTATTTTATTACTTCCCTTCTACGTGACTTTACCGAAAGAACCAAGAAGATGGTGTATTATTGAATGCTGGGACGTTTCATTGATGTCCCGGGAAGACTTGCAAACGGCTTCCCGAGCAAGCAGGACTATTATGGGAAAACCAGGACCGGTGGCAACCCATAGCAAGGACTGGAGTTGACAAAACACACATACGTGAAAGAGTTGAACTGGTGACCATAGCCAGTCAATAAAAACACTTCCATAAATTGCATGAATATTAATGCCGCACTTCGAATTTTGTTATGCATCAGCAAAGCTGTTTGTAATATATGAAGTTATTGATTGGCAGTTATAACCTTTGCAGCTTGGAAACACTCCGCTGTCTGCATATGTGAAGCCCATTGACCTGAGATCCTCTTGGGCTAGGGCAGTTGCCGTCAGTTTTTGTGGGTTGTGTTAGAATACAGAATGAAAGTTAGAAAAAAAAAGTGGTTACAGATCTTCAAACCTATGACCAAATCATCCGAAAAACATGGCCATTCTCGTCAGATCTTCGAAGACGAGCAGAGATCAGAAGTTTTTCCCCCGAGTAAAAATCCCCTTTATCACCCAGCAGCAGCGTAGTGATGAAGGGCTGTACAACTGCATGCTCAAAGACGTCCTCGAATTGTGGGTTGGGGGTCACACGTTTGAACGGTTAGTTTTAAACTTTTATTTAGCAACGGATGATTATCTAAGAGCAATACTGCGTGGACAATGACGCATTGTCTCATTGTTATTTTAAATGAAGTCAAAAGTGTTATCGCAGAAAAGCGAGTGAGGTTGAGACCTGTGGTCCGTTGCATGACGTTTTTTAATAATTTTATTTACCTATGAGAAAGCCTTGTCGAGTCCAAAGGCTTTTTTTTCAGAAAGGAACCTGCTACATTGGGATGTTTCGCCAATTCCATCCGTGTTTTTTGGCTTTGTGTTGGAGAAACCCGGAGAAAACGCACCACCCATGCAAAGAGGTAACCCTCAAAGCCCGCAAATAGATCACAGAAACTGATTGCTCTTTTGCCATCTGCTGGCTTTTTCGCAGGCCAAGTCTACATCACTCGGTAAAATATTGCCAGGCAGTCTCCCATCCCAGCACTTGCTCGTCTTAAGCCAGGCGGTGGTATCCAATACTGGAAGTCGTGGGAGATGGTGGATCACACGTGTGAAACAACCCTTCCTGTGGGTGTATTTGAGGTGCCCTATCCTGGCTTGCAACGAGAAAGCAGCAACGTGTGGAATTCCGCCTGTTCCATCGATCTCCTAATCACTCCGTTATTGGCCGATAACACCTTAATTTATAGAGGACCGCAGAGCTTGGAGAGGGACTTGGTGCCAGGTCAATGTCTCGCTGCCTTTCCCATTTGCGGTTTCCCGCACCTCCGAGTGGTTTTCTCCACGAGAGCGAGCGAATGTTGTGCAGTGCGTTACAAGTTGAAACCTCGCCTAGCTTCTGAGATGTAATATCACAGGAGCATTCCAGATAATTTGAACTTTTAGCGATTTACGTGAAAATGTTCCTCCGTTTGCCATTAAAGTCGAGGAAATGTTCACCTTAGTCGTTTCATGCAACCGGCTACAATAATTGAGACCACGACGTAAACTTTAACGTAGATTTATCAACGGGGACAATCTAACGGCCATTGGTCTGGTGGTACCGACATCTATTGTTTAATGAGTTGTGTTGTATTTTTTAAATCTGTATGCCTTGGCCATTTACGTGATGATCGCACTCCAGTTAATGAAAGTAGGTCAAATAAAGATCTGTTGGATCTGTATCACCGATGTGCGTGTCCGTGTGTTTTGTAACATTTTCCATAAACAGAGGGAATTTGCATTCGAGGCATGGTTTGTGTTGGGGCTAACTGGCCTGGGCCCTAGGGGTAGCACCAAGTGTCCTCTTTGGCGAGGTCTCGTGGTACGATGACCTTGAGCTTGCGCCTGCATGTTTTAATCAAGCAGTCGAGATCAAGAGGTCACGGTCAATGGCATTGATGCCACCACACATCACCATCCTTGCATCTGCCAGATCCCGCAGTAGCTGACGGCATTCTTTCAAGGTTTGCTCCTTCGGTCAACCATCTTATTATTAGCACGGTTGGATACGTACGGCGCAAAATAAGTTCAACACGTTTCGGTATTCCATGCATGTTGAACTTCTTTCGCACCGTACGTGCTAATCGGATGTGCGGGGGAAGGACAGCAAACCAACTAAAACCATTTCTAAAGAAATTAGTTTTCAATTTAGATTTAACAGTGGAGCACTCTCAAGGAGAGCTGTTGCATGCTGCCTGGTGGGGTTTTTTGTGCTCTGTCTACTGGCTTTCCATGCGATGTAAGAAATAAAATTGGCTAAACATCCAATGCACGACCCATACGTCGGTGCTGCTTTCCTGAATAAATAAAATAAAATTGTAAAAAATGAAGTCCCGTCTCGTTTTGGGAATGACCATTCGCATTACTTCCCACAGAATAAAGACCATTTATATGGGATTTGCATTTATGGTAACCAATACCCCCACATGACCCCACAGCCTGCCATGCTACCCTCCCATCTCCAAGCCCCCCCCCCCACAAACGTGAGTCACCTGCGATTAGCAGCACGTTTGGCAACGTACGGTGCGAAAAAAGTTCATCATACGGAGCACGCTTTGCCAAGACAATACCATCTGGTCACCCAGTAACGTTGGTCCAGTTTAACGTGTAGGCTTTTGCAACCAATATAATGGTTAAAGTTGTGGCTTTACGCTCCAACATCCCATCATGTGCTGCACGAGCTACGAATTGACACGTTTTGTTTACGTGACAAACCTTACTAATTGGCTGTACAGTCGTTAATGCGAAAAATGCGTGGCTTTTTGTTGTTGTTCAAATGCCGCGCACCGGTGTGACGTCAAGAACGTCGGCAGCCAGACATCATCAGCCACGTTATGAGACAATGACGTCGTGCAACAGTGACGTCACCAAATACTTATTAATACAATGACGTCATTAAATAATGGCGTGCAATACGATGACGTCATGCAATACCCCGACGTGCCTTACGATGACGTCATGCATGACGATAGCGTCGTGCCATCGAAATGCATGACACGTGAAATACATTGACGTTTGCAATACGATGACGTCATGCAATGCACCGACGTACAATACAATGACGTCATAATACACCGACGTACAATGCGATAACTTAATGCAATACACTGACGATGTCGTCGTACAATACGATGACGTCTACAATACAATATTGCACGCTGTAAGGGGCCGTCCATAAATGACGTCACGCGATTTTTGAGCCCCCCCCCCTAGTCACGCGGCGTCACAAAAAGTCAGACCCCCCCCTTCAAATATGACGTCACAAAGCTCTGCACCCCCCCAAAAAAAAATAAAACATGCTTCAAATCGCTTAAAACTATTGTCATTGTAGTGCGTATTTAATATGGCGCTGCACTCTGATGTTGTAGGAGAAAACATTTATTAAAAAGTCTATTTAATTAAGTAGAACGTGTTGTCTATATTCATTTAAAGTTGCGCATTTTGATGTGACGTCACATTTCTCCCCCCCCCCCCCGTCGTCACAAATGTCTGACCCCCCCTCCCTTGGTGCGTGACGTCATTTATGGACAGCCCCTAACGTAATGACGCAATACGCACGTCAAGTAACTTCCCGAACATGATGAGAACAATTTAACGATTTAAATTCATACAGCACTTCAAATAGCCACTAAATAGCACTTAGCGACTTACATTCACAAGGACAATGAACCAATCAAAACGAATTCCACTTCAGATATTGAATAAAAGCAATCGCATTTGGTAGCACGCTTAAGGATACGAGCGCCGCCATTGACCACGGCGGTCACGTGGCCACGCGCCAATGCGAAGTGGGAATTACAAATGCGCGCTCCACCACCCACTTCCGGGTCACGTGCCCGTCACCATGGCGCCGCTGCTCGGGGCCCGAGGCCTGCCCAGAGGTGAGGCCCTCATCCCCTTGATCCCCTTGAACTCCCTCATCCCCTCTCATCATCCCCTTGATCCCCTTGGTCCCCTCTCCTCATCCCCTTGATCCCCTCATTCCCTTGGTCTCCCTCATCCCCTTGATCTCCTCTCCTCATCCCCTTGATCCCCTCATCCTCTTGGTCCCCTCTCCTCATCCCCTTGATCTCCCTCATCCCCTTGATCCCCTCTCCTCATCCCCTTGATCCCCTCATCCTCTTGGTCCCCTCTCCTCATCCCCTTGATCCCCTCTCCTCATCCCCTTGATCCCCTCATCCTCTTGGTCCCCTCTCCTCATCCCCTTGATCCCCTCATTCCCTTGGTCTCCCTCATCCCCTTGATCTCCTCTCCTCATCCCCTTGATCCCCTCATCCTCTTGGTCCCCTCTCCTCATCCCCTTGATCTCCCTCATCCCCTTGATCCCCTCTCCTCATCCCCTTGATCCCCTCATCCTCTTGGTCCCCTCTCCTCATCCCCTTGATCTCCCTCATCCCCTTGATCCCCTCTCCTCATCCCCTTGATCCCCTCATTCCCTTGGTCACCCTCATCCCCTTGATCTCCCTCATCCCCTTGGTCTCCTCTCCTCATCCCCGTGGTCTCCCTCATCCCCTTGATCCCCTCTCCTCATCCCCTTGATCCCCTCATCCTCTTGGTCCCCTCTCCTCATCCCCTTGATCTCCCTCATCCCCTTGATCCCCTCTCCTCATCCCCTTGATCCCCTCATTCCCTTGGTCACCCTCATCCCCTTGATCTCCCTCATCCCCTTGGTCCCCTCTCCTCATCCCCTTGATCTCCCTCATCCCCTTGATCCCCTCTCCTCATCCCCTTGATCCCCTCATTCCCTTGGTCACCCTCATCCCCTTGATCTCCCTCATCCCCTTGATCCCCTCTCCTCATCCCCTTGATCCCCTCATCCTCTTGGTCCCCTCTCCTCATCCCCTTGATCTCCCTCATCCCCTTGATCCCCTCTCCTCATCCCCTTGATCCCCTCATTCCCTTGGTCACCCTCATCCCCTTGATCTCCCTCATCCCCTTGGTCCCCTCTCCTTATCCCCTTGGTCTCCCTCATCCCCTTGATCCCCTCTCCTCATCCCCTCGTGTTTCTGACCCCCCCGGCGTAGGTCCCCCTTACCCCCCCCCCCTCTTTCCCTTCACTTCCCGGTACCCCTGTGACCCCCTTGATCACCCGATCTCATAATCCCTTCACCCTCTCATCCCCTCGTCTCTCTCATCCCCCACATCCCCATCCATCTCCTCTGCCGCTCACCCTCCTTAATCCCCTGGCCACTCATCCCTCTCATCCCCGTGGTTTCATCATCCCAGTTATCTCCCCCAACTCCCCACATCTCCCGTTATCTCATGTATCCCCTTCATCCCCTTTATTTCCTCGTGTCCCTGATATCTGCTGATCAAATTGTAATGCCATTTGAAGTGAATGGCCGTCGCAGTGTGAACAAAGCTGCTTTCGTCGTAACCACAGTTCCCTCTGGGTCTGATCTTATCCCCTTGATCCGCCCGGAGTAGGTGGGACCCCTGTTTCATCCACATCCGTCTGATCCCCTAAGCGGGGTGTACATCCTGAGCCCCCTATTCCTCCTATCCCCTTTGGCCTGCGGTGCCCCTCAAGCCCCGCTGTCACCCCCTGATCCTCTTAGACAGAATCCTGATTTCCTGATCCCTCTGCTCCCCTGGGGTTAAGGGATGGGGGGTGAGTGGTTTAGGGTTACGGTATAAGGTTTGGGGGGTTTAATGTAAAGAGGATTAGGGAACAAAAGTGGGGAGATGGTTTTGGTGTGTACAGGTTTATGGATACGGTAAAATGAGGTCTGGGTACTGGGAGTGTTATGGGGTATTGTTGAGTGGTTTAAGGGTAATATAAGCGGGCGAGGGGATTGGAAGGATGGTGTGGGTTAAAGGATAAGGTGAGAGTTATGGGATATGATAAGAGATAGTGGTTGAGAGGGGGGGGCGGGGGCGTGAAGGGGGTCACGGGGGACCGGGAAGTTAAGGGGATGAGGGGGATAAGGTGCACCTACGCTGGGGGATCAGAAACACCGGGAGATCGAGGGGATGAGGAGAGGGGATCAAGGGGATGAGCTCGCTCATGATTGACCTCCTCGTCTGGTGCCCCCCCTGCAGGCCCATGCGCTGCAGTGAAGCGGGCTGGCAGCGTTCCGTCTGACCTTTTCGCCGAGATGGTGAGTGATGTTGTGGTGAGATGGTGAGTAATGTTGTGGTGAAATGGTGAGTGATGTTGTGGTGAGATGGTGAGTAATGTTGTGGTGAGGTGGTGAGTGATGTTGTGGTGAGATGGTGAGTGATGTGGTGAGATGGTGAGTGTGTTGTGGTGAGATGGTGAGTGATGTTGTGGTGAGGTGGTGAGTGATGTTGTGGTGAGGTGGTGAGTGATGTTGTGGTGAGATGATGAGTGATGTTATGGTGAGGTGGTGAGTGTGTTGTGGTGAGGTGGTGAGTGATGTTGTGGTGAGATGGTGAGTGATGTTGTGGTGAGGTGGTGAGTGATGTTGTGGTGAGATGGTGAGTAATGTTGTGGTGAGATGGTGAGTGTGCTGTGGTGAGTGTGTTGTGGTGAGATGGTGAGTAATATTGTGTCCACGTGGTGGTGAGTGTGTTGTGGTGAGATGGGTGAGAGTGTTTGATGAGGTGGGTTACAATGCAATGTTAATTTAGATTTGCGTAGCGACCACTTCTCGTGACTTTGTATATCGTGATCATATTCATGGTGACAGCACGGTTCAGAATCGCAATCTTTATTTAGGCTGCAGGAGGAATCTGATGAGCTATGAAGCTCTTTTTCACAGATGTGCAGTAGGGGCGGGCCATGAAGTTACAACGATACAAAAAAACTTTCGAAGTGCAACGGATAAAAAGGGAAGCAAGTCACTAAATATAAATAAGTAAAGTATGTCTGATTTTTCAATACTAAATGTTGATTGGGAAGGAAGTTTCCGACTACAGGAGGATAATAGAATGATGCACACTGAGCGAAGGTTAAACACATTCCTGCGGAGGGAGCTGGTAGGAACGTTGGGTTGCTTGGTCAATGGCCAGGGTCAACGGCGGCGTGGTGTACTCCGCAAATATGGCCGACTGTGAGGGCTGGCACAAGCCGGCGTGAGTAGGTTAAACGTTGAGTTTTATAAGGGCACCACGGGGTGACCAGCCCCTCCCTACCCTCCCCACCCTCCCCTCCCCACCCAGCCCCTCCCCACCCTTCCCACTCAGCCCCTCCCCACCCTCCCCTCCCCAACCAGCCCATCCCCACCCTCCCCACCCTCCCCTCTCTACCCCCTCCCCACCCTCCCCTCTCCACCCAGCCTTACCCCTCCCATTTTTGGATGCACGACGGACAGACACAATAATTCCCTGTGGGCTGGTGGAACCAGGTGGTTCCTACCAGTACTAGGGGCTTCCATAGAAAGCGTGGTTTCTGGAGTGGAGAGTGAGTGCTGTGGTGAGATGAGAGGTAGGAGAATGCGTGAATGGGAGCAGAGCGAGATCAGTGCAGAGGTTGGCAGAAGTGAGTTAATTCATGGAGGACCTCGAAGATGGTGCGTGCCGAACTTGAAGTTCATCTTAGAATGGGATTGAGAATTAGTGGGGGGGATCGGAGCGTTGGGGTGATGTGGTCGCGTCAATGGGTGTGGATTCTGGCAGTTACATTTTTGAATCGTTTGGGAAAAGAGTTGGTCTGTTGAAGGAGTCGGTGGCTTTATGTTAATGTCTTGAGGTGGGCGAGTAATGTGAGAGAGTCTAGGAGGTGGTGTGCCTTCAGTGGCCAGTCTTGATGGTGGCGAGCAGTGTCTCGGGAGGTTTCTACGGTCGTGTGGTGAGTGGTGTTTTTAAGCTGGTGAGAGGTGTTTGAGGTCTTGAGTAGTTTGTGAGACCTAAAGGAAGCCTTCAATCCAGATGTGGCGATGATACAGGAAAACATCCTTGCATGATGTGTCGGCTATCTAACAAGAAGGCCTACATCTAGATAGTGATGATTGATTATTATGGCTGGCCTTGGAGGTGGCAATGTAAGAGCTACCGGATCTTACAACAGGAAAGAAGCGATGGCGGAGTATGATGGGATCAACTGTATTGGCCGTAATTACCTTTTAACCCTGCGTGCAGAGCTGTGTGGTGCTGGCCTACGTGCGAGGAGAGAGCCTGGCAGTGGACACGGGTGCCATGTACGAGGTGAGGTTTGCTTCACATCTCCAGTGGGTGAACTTGCCGACGCGGTGTGTGTGTGTGTGGCTCAAGCCAAGAGGTAGTAGCCATACATACATTTTGATCCATCCATTGTAGATTCACAAAACATTTTCAAATTGAATAAACATCTCTTATTTGAATAGAAATTATACAGGTAGGAACAACAGTTCCACACTGCCCACCAGGGATTATTTGTCTGTCTGTCGTGCATAGCCACGCCCTCGATTTGTATTTCATAGAGCGCTTCGGGCGGGCTCAGCACCACGTGATGCGCTGCCCCACGCAGCTTGCGCCACGTGACACGGATCGCACGAATGCGCTGTCCAACCAAGTTCCTACCTGTCCACTCCGAAGGAACGTGTTTTAATTGGAAACCGCGTCGCTTTTTGGACTGTGGGGAGGCTGACGGCTTTGATGGTGTCGATGTGGCGGCATCGATGTTGTGTTGCCCATATGGCGATGTCAGTATGGTGTTGTCATCGTGGTAGTGTCATTGCCATGGTGACGTTTTGGTGGTGGCATTGGTGATGGCGGTGATGTGGTTGTGTCATCGTGGTAATGTTATTGCAGCGGCTGATCAGCTGTGGTGTGGAGGGCATAGGCGAGCAGTCGGTGCAGGAGGTGGTCTCACTGCTCACAGGAATCTTCAGGTGAGCTTGGCCACAGCAAACATGTTTATTACCTTGTGTCACGATCCCATAGTGCTCATGACACCATTCTCGACATGGCCATCGAGCGAGAGCCAAACTTCACAGTTGACTCTCGTGTCCTGCCTTCTCGCCCTGGATTAGTTTTGACTTTCTCCCGCTCAGTGTTGCCAAAATAGAAGTACAGGCGGTCTCTGCTTTTACTACGTTACAATGCGTTCCTGGAAACCTTGTCGTAAATCGGGTTGTCATATATCAGACCATATATTCTCATTCAGTAGAAACAGCGTTATTTAACGAAGTTTAATAGGTACAAATCTACAAAAAACAGTTGAGAATAATAAAAGCTCCACACATCGGAAAGAAACCAGGCCGACTCTGTTCAAATGTGTTCGGAGTAGTGGCGGAAGGTGCGTCGTAAAATCAAATATCTGTGCCTCGTGGTGGCATCGTGTTAACATCGTAAATGTGGATCGTCGTAAACCAGAGACTTGGCAAAATGTGGATTAGGAGCATGAATAATTGCAGGGCTGCTCCTTGACCTTTTTCGCCCGCCCACGTTGCAGGGTGGCCACACAGGCGGGCACGTCGGGCGAGCAGCTGGCATTGGATTTGGCCGGCGCTAGTTCGGACTGGACCCGGCCAGCACTGAAGGTCATCAAGCACGTGTGGGACAACGCAGGACCGGTACCGCCCACCCAGTGGCCGGTCTCTCTGCCCTCTGCCGCCAGGGTACGTCCTACCCAATGTGGGCAGCGAATGTTGTGTTTGGTGGCGCGTGGTGTTTCGCCCTGGCTGTTGTGTGGGTTATGCACACCAACGCAAGCCACCAGAGGTGCAACATTCACCACAATAGTAAAAAAATGTATCGAATCATCACCATCAACTCTATCGCACTTCTGTTTAGCACGGTCGTCTACGTACGGTGCGAAAGAAGTTCAACATATATCCCAGAGGCTATAAGAGTAAACAAATTATATTCGTCTGCGCGTTTGTGTACGTGTAATTGGCCTCGCCTACGTTCACCAGGCTGTAAATGAGTGCCTGGTGCGGTGTGCAAACATCGTCACTGGAGAGACACAATTCAGCTGGCATGGTTGCTGGCCACACCACTGCCCCCATGCACCGTGCTCGCCTTAATGAGTGCTCGCTAACAAGCAGTTGGCCCAGCGGTCAGAGGTTATACGGTTTATATTCGTCTCTGCTTACGGGTGCAGCTGTTGGACGTGCGCTGGAAAGTCGGCATCAGCGTGAGCTCCGACCGCTGCCGTGCGTTGAATGCTCCGTTCGTCACGCTGTGCCTCGCGCTGGCCGAGAAGTCGGGACGTACGAGCACTCGAGTCTTCGAGATGAACCTCGCTCAGTTCCAGGTGAGGTGTCATCCCACGTCGGTTTTCTTTATTGCAAGGCCCGCGGGCCACTGGCGGCCCCCTGGTGGCCTTTACTGCGGCCCCTGACAATGCACAAAGTGAAAACAACCCCTTTCAGGCGGGTGTGGCGGCCCTCACACTGATGCCTTATCGGCAAATGTAGCCTCCCACCTCTGAAAGTTAGTGAAGAACACTGCCCCACGTGGTGATGGGTCATCCCACCAATCACCACCACCCAGAGTATGCCAGCTTCCCCCTCAAGCAGGCCCTGGGACTCGTCAGTGTTGACCTGATTGCTCTCCCGAGGATGTACGGCATACAGGTTTCCCTCGCTCTGTGCGGCAGCAGTAGTCGATGCGCTCCGTGAAAAGTGCGCACAAAGCGAAACCGCACGAGAAGACGGCTGCCTGCCGAGTAGTACAGAAAGTACGCACACAGTACACACACACAGTACACACACACAGTACACACACACAGTACACACACACAGTACACACACAATGCTGTCCCACGTCCGACCGCATCGCCACGTGTAGAGTGAATTCAAATCACATTGTGTAGCGAATTGGGGAGATATAGGTTAGCCGCATATACAGCGCGAAATCGCACAAACCGAACCCGCATAGAGCGAGGGAAACCTGTAATGTATATTTACAGATTGTCAGTGTTCATACATGTTTGGTCTCTTTATCAAAAAAATATATTTTGAGGCTCTGACCTCGACCTAAAAGTCTCCCAGCCTAGGCATCGGCGTGGTCCTGTGCATTCCTCTTTATTGCTGTGTGATCGCAAATTGATTTTAGCGATGGGTGGGAAACCCACGCAGAGTGTGGAATCCAACCCAGGCCCTTCTTGCTGCTGTGATGCAACAAACGTTACCACGGCACTACCCTGCCACCAATAAATGTCGAGATGTATCTTAATCTGCACCGCCGACGTTTTTTTTGCAGAACTTTTCCCGGCAGCTGAAGGAAATGTCATCTGCGATGGACACGGCGTGACACCTCGGTTTGCCGCTCACCTTCCCGCAGGAGAAGTTCCATTGTAGATTCCCGCGACGAAGCTGGGAGAATGTTAATTATTTGAGAATTTCCCACTTTCTGACCACACACACCTGCACTGCCCGATTTAATTGAACAGTTGTTGATAGCTCCCAACCTGATGTGCTTAACGGGTTTGTACGTGAATCGAAACCTCGGACTGTGTTGAAAAACACGCGGTACAGCTAGAATATATACTGGACAGCTCTACCTGATCTTGTATGGACTCATCTAGCGCCTTACAACACAACCGCTAACACCTACACAGTCGTCGTCGGTCCCCAACATTAATTACAGATGTTTGTAAACACTTAAATTAACGTGTGGAATCCCATAAAGAAGTTTCTTCACCACAGTACTGATGGGTGTGTGACCTTGATTTCAACCCAGGATTTATCAGCTCCGTGCCTCTGACCTCTTTTGCCACCTGGCCACCACATGAGATTTTTTTTTCCAATTGAAACTCCAATGTGTAGATGCATACATGTTACTGCTTGTAAATAGAGCATTTTTGAAGTAATAAAGTATTACAAATGTAAATGTATCACTTGCTTTTAACATTGAAGGTGGAAAGTACATTGACACTTTTATGGAAAAATTGTGTAGAGCTTCAATGAAATGTACAGATTTTGAATGTGAACACCCTATTAACACCATTTAATTTACAAGAATATCAAGATTTGAAGGTGATGTTTATATTGGAACAAATCCCTGCATTTTTCATTGAAACCGGCATATGTTGAACGTGCACTTGTTTAACCAGGTGGGCACTGGGTGCCCAAGATATTCTCATTTGCAAGCGTGACATGGGTCACCAAATTGACATGAGCAATAACGCAAAAAACAAAAAAAATGCACCAACGAAACAAAACTGCAATCCATACAAAAGCAAACAAAACAACCCCATTGTAGAAATAAAAATATTACAAAAAAAGTTTACAAACATAAATCGACATTAAACCAAACGTACTGTGTTCCCCGTTCTGAAAGTTGGCTCGAGCAAGTCACTTTAAAAAAAACATTAACTTCGAGAAACATCAACATGGGTGAACGGGGATTGTTGCACTGGTGTGCAAACAGATAAGGACACGTGCCAAATTCCATTGCAAAGTAAACCCCTTGCTAGCCTGCTCGCAGCTGATTGCAGCCACGTCCACAAATAAGCGATTCCGTTTACTCGCAAGCATCGGTACGGTTGTCGGACCCGCCTCAATTGTCATTGAACCGACACTTCACTCGGATAATCTAACGGATCAAATTGACAAAGACTCTCTACATTACCAGATCCCGCCACGAGACGTCGCTCTCGTCACTGAGAAATGAGTTCGTTTGAAGGGCCCCCGGGCTGAATGTGCGTCCGTCAAACTTCTTTCGCACCGCACGTAGCCAACCGTGCTAATTGGAGGTGCGTTAATTACTTCACCCACGTGACTGCGAGAGGTAGCTTTTGGGAGGGCTTCATCCAGCAGTGGATTTGCCATGGAAGATGATGGCAAACATGTCCGTGTTGCAGGAACAACCTTTGTTGTCATTCCACTGCTGGATGAGGGCCTCCCACCGCTAAGCAGGACATGGAGGGGTTATTTAACCATACATTTTTATTTGATGTGGGAGGGAAACGGTCGGGTTGAGGTTTGGCCATATTCCTACTTTTCCACTTGTGCATTACATCTCGACAGCACTTGCCATTTTATACAACTTGGCTCTCGGTAGATATCCCAAATTAGAGGCAGGTCTTTTTTTATTGGGCTGTTTTGCACATTTCTAACGGGTTTTTTCGTCTTCTCAGATCACATGTCACCATCACTATCAGCTGCAGCCATGATCAATCCACTGCTGAATGAAGACCTTCCCCCTCCCCGATATCGCGCCTACCTCTCTCACAGCCATTCCCACGGACACACGAGCACAGACACCCGTGTCCTTCACGGTCTCGTTAAGATCGTCAACACTATCATGGGACCTTTTTATGGCCAGTAGCAAAATATGAAAAGTAAGAATGGGTGTTTACCCTCTCTGGCAACAAAACAGGAGGTGTAAAGATGTTCAAACACCGAATAGAAACCTTTTTTGCAAGGAATCACGTCTGCATTAACCACGCGTACAAGTGGTGAACATGCAAACATTCATGCTCCGATAACATTTCGGCATTGTCTTTGAAACTGATTGGCCTACACCAGGATACAGCCTTCTGGCTGCAGTTTAAAAGACAACGCGTATATTGTCAGAGCATGTTATTTTATTATATTATTATAGTATTTTCTTAATTTATTATATTATTTTATTTTTATTTTACTTTTATTAATTTAAAAATTTTACCTATGTGACTTTACCGAAAACAACCTAAGAATATGAATCCTTGCAGTCACGAAAGCTTCAAATCTAGAATTAAGAGCATGTTTCCTTTGCATGCTCACCACAAGGCACCGCGTGTGGTTAATTCAGTGCTCGATTAATTTCGAAAGTTTTCTATTCGGCGTTTGACCACCTTAACACCTGTTGTAATGCCAGAAAGGGTTAACGCCTATTCTCACTTTCATATCGTCAAAACTATTTTTCATGCGCTCTTCCTCTTTCTGGCCTCGTTTTAATTAAACTGCAGCGGAGCTTCGGCCGCGTTTGACATTTGCAGTGTAATTGCCAGGCACGTGACTTGGCACGGGTGAGCGATGGGTGAGGCTAAAAACAGAAAGCTCGGCCTTGTGGGTGGGGGGCGGTGAGCGTGGCGTGTGTGCATCGTGCGCGCGACATCGCTCACCCACACTGACCCTACTGCTCACCAACCACTCACCAGCTCACTCAAATATGCCCACCTGTGACAGATTGTCACCTCCTGGCTCATACCCAATGTCTTGTCAATGCATCATCCACACTTGCCCCCCCCTCACTCACGATTCTCCCAACAACAGCCACATACTCCAGCTCTCCAATCACGACCCAACCACACCCACTCAACATTTCATCAGCCACACTCATCGAGTGACACTCACCACCTTCACCCTCCCACTGTCCTCCCCCACAAATACACACCGACTCCCACTGAAAATCCACCCATAACCACACCTGCTTATGCTGAATTAACTTCCACCCCACCAGCCATTCCACCTACTCCACATCTACTCGCCCACACCCAACTATGCTCCCACAAACACCCAATCACCGACGCACTGACCAACCTACCTACTTGTCCTTCCCCGCACCACCGATGAGCACGAATGGCTACGTACGGTGCGAAAGAAGTTTAACATACGTACACCCACTCACCGATCTTACCCCGTTCACACACCTATTCATTCTTTCTCACCGACCTCCGCACACCCCCACTCACTCACCTGATTTACTACTAATAAACCAACCTTCCTCCACTCACCCACTCACCAGCCTACCCCACCCTGCCTCCACACCCTCTCGCTAATCTACCCACAACCCCACTCACTAATCTACCCACAACCCCACTCACTAATCTACCCACAACCCCACTCACTAATCTACCCACAACCCCACTCATTGGCCTATTCACTGCATCAAACATCTACCCACTCACCAGTTTCTTCCCACCCACCCAATTACTCACTAACCACACCCACTCAACCACCTACTGACACCTCCACTCACCAACCTATCCACACTCTAACCCACCTACTACTCCACTCACCATTCATCAAATCGCCTGCCCCGTCCCGCACACCCACATAATAACTGGCCGATATCTCACGCACTCACGACCCTTCTCCCCGACTGACGCACCCCACACGAATCGATCCAAACCTCCACTCAACCACCTACTCACTTACTCGCCAACCTGCCCACACCAACTCACCAGTTTCACTCACCAGACTCCGGCCTCTTCACGCACAACCCCACTGCCTAACCTCCGGATCACCTACTCACTGACCAGCCTCTCACCTTTACCCGGCCATAACCTCCCACCCACTCACCAACAACTCAGCAGTCTGCCTCTGCACGACACCGGGTCGGGGGGTTGACATCTCTCATTGTGAGCAGCAGCAATGCCTGCGGCTCATGCAGCCAGACTAAGGCACTCCCCGCCCAGCGCGGACCGGCAGGGAGCGACGCAGAGAGACCTCGGCAAGCTGGGACACGGCCCCTTCCCGGCCAAATTAAACAACAAACAGCGAACGGAGCCAGTTGAGAAGTTGTCACTCACAACACAGAGGCGTGACCTCTGCGCATCTCGCGTGCGTTCAGAGGTCAGAGCGATGAACTGGTACATGCCGAGTTCAAATACAGATCTCAGCCACCCGTGATTAAATCGAAAAGCGTAAAAGAGGTGACGTGGTGGCGACGAGGAGTGATCTCCATCGCCTGCTACGCAGGAGTTCGTGGGTTCGATCCCGGACTGGTGATGCCTGTTGTATATTTGAAGTCTGCGTGTTCTCTCTCTCTCTCTCCCGCGGTGGTCCGCGTAGATTTTTCTCCAGGTTCCTCCGGATTTGCAAACCCACATCCCCACCAACCCCTTCCACATTGAGAAACAACTCGCGTTTAGATGATATGGCTGCTACTACAAATGTCCACGTGTGACACAAGCCAGTTCGAAGAGCTAACACGGGTGGCCAGGCGACCTCTGAAACAGAGCTAATAGCTCAATAGGCTTTACCTGGTAAATACAATTGTCCAATTTTTCGATTTAAAGTTTTCGTGACTGCAGGGATTCATCTTCTTGGTTCTTTCGGTAAAGTCACGTAGAATGGAAATAATAAAATAATAAAAATAAAACATAATAAAATCATTCTCACGACGTTTCGGCCACAACGCAAGCAGCCGTCCTCAGACTATGTCTTCTCGACAGACCTGTTCTCCACCTGAGGACGGCTGATTGCGTTGTGGCCGAAACGTCGTGAGAATTATTTTATTAAGTTTTATTTTTATTATTTTATTATTTCCATTCTACATTTGTCCAGTTTAGTTCAGGGGAAAATGGCCTTTCTTCACAGCTATAGGTCGTGTTTGGTATCTCTGGCTTCTCGATGTGAAGAAGAGCTAATACCCCGATTCGCACCGACGATGAACACGGTTGGATAAGTACGGTGCGAAAGAAGTTCAACATGCATACAGTTGAATTACTCTATCGATGTATGGCCGTATCTACGGGTGTCTCTGTTAATACAAAATATTTTCATATCACTTTAGATGGGCCACGAAGCAGGGTCATTGCCCAAAATGTCACATATCACATAGATATAATCTTTAAGGGAGTGCGTCCAATAGCTGAGCCAGGATTTTCAGGTAGGGGGGGCAACCCCTCCAACAATTAAAAATTATAGGAGTTGTTAGTAAGTAAGGACTTGTTAGTAAGTAAGGACTTGTCCCTTGCTTTTTATTCGACGCGTG